CAGTCCTGGCCGTGGAAAAGGCTGCGTCATATGATTCTGGTAACTTCGCTCGAATTTCCACCAAGCGCAAGTAAAGCGGGTGACCCACGGGTATTTGAGTCGACAGAGTCTTCAAAATCTAGAAAAAACCAAATCAAGGATTTATCCGTTTTGTAAGTTTACAACTTACAGTAACTGGATATATCATTCAAATTTGATGGTACGGCCAAAATTCAAGGGACCAACGAAAAATCGACGTAAGGTCTGGGGAGGTGTTAAGACTTGAGCTATCGAAGTTAAATTGTACAATATAAATATGCTACACTCCAAAATGCAAACCCGGCAATATATTTCCACTTTATATTTTAATTCAACCAATTAATTATTTCAACCAATTATTTTAATTCATGCATTGGAAATGTCTTATTCGAAAAACCTTCAAGACACTCCGTAAGATGTTAATTTAAAAATTATCATTTATGCAGGTGGATTCTCTCTACCACAATCGTATCAAAAACAATGTGTACGTTATAACGATTTTTTCTTGGTTCCATGAGGTTCTTCACAAAGAAATTATCTCCACAATAATTTTTTTTGTTCCTTTACTTTCTTTGTAGTGATAAGAGTCCACTTGTACTGTAATGCATATTTGATGGAAAGGAAATCCTAGCTTGGATCCGCCGGGAAGGAACAAATGATCGTACTGAACTAATATTCAACGCATTACTCACAGTAAAAAACCTGCCCTTAACAGCAGGTAAGATCTTTCGATGAAAGGCGGGATAATTATAAAATGGAGTGAGATCTGATCAATAAATTCATCGCCATATCATTCACATGAATTCTGGCACGATGAATTAGTCGAAAGTTTGTCATACAAACCCGCACAATATCCTCAAGTTCTTCTTCAGCGTCTGTCTTTTCGATCGCCAACTTTGAAACTTGAAAGTAGGAGTATCGCAATACGTGGCCTCGATGCGAGCGCAACCATAAAGTTCTTGGAACTTCGACAAGTCCGTAACCAAGCAAAAACACGAGCAAGGTCAATCCCCAGGTGTTGCTAGCTGTTGCAGCAATGGCTTTCAATTTAGGCCTGGTGCGAAAACGAATGTTATCATTTTTTATGAGCAAAAAAAAAAAAAAATCTCGAAATATAAGAATGAAAATTTTTTTTTATTTCCACGAAGGGAGATGAGACGAGGTTGTAAACGATCTTCTGACCCAACGCAAATTTCCCAGAATTTCACTAAAGCACTCGCTTTTGATCATGTTCTCGACCGAAAATTACTCAACTCATTTATACTCGTGTATCTCGAGAAACATCGACAGCTTTCCACTGAAAAATTTCGTCTAAGATCCTAAAATCTTTTAAGCAACGTTCAAATATGAAGGCTAATAATGAAAACGACTTGCGGTGGTAATGATTCCTCGCATCTGGTTGAATACATTATAACAGAAGCTTCCGAGTATGCAAAGCATTCGAGGAATGCGGAGAATTGTCTCACCAGTCCAAAGTCACACCAGTTCCGGCAAGATAAATCAAAAAGGAAACGGCCAAAAACAGGTACGAAACGTAGTAGATGGCGTTATCCACCAGTGCAGCTCTTGC